ATACAAAGTCTAATGTTTCTTACGAATTAGGAACTCAAATTACTGATATTGACAAGGTAGAATATAAAATAAGAACCTTCTATCTTTTCTGTTTGCATTTTTATACCTATCACTTCACAGCTCTTTCTAAGCATGTACCTAGTTCCTAAAAACTATTTCATTTTCTGTATGTATTGTTCCAAAAAACAAATAATATTTAGTACAGATGGGAGCAAACACCATTTCCTGCTTTACCTAATTAATGCTCCTGTGGACAACAAAGAAGCATTTTGTTCTTCAAGGTTGTTCTTGCAAACCAACTCTCGACAAAAGTAAAAAATTTAAAACTACCCTTTGTTTTTCATGAAATAATAATCAATTTAAACTCTTGTTAAATGCTGGCCTAACACATAATACACTCAAAACTCATAATAGTGTACATGTTAGTGCATCGTAGAAGGGGAATTACAATATGTTAAAGTAGAGTTTAATACACAAATGAGAGTCCATCCAAAAGCGTGACTGACGAAAAGGATCTTGGCATGTGATGAGTACATTACTCGTGCCATCAAACCATTGCTCTGCAGCTAGTAGTTAATTAAAATAATTTTTAGTGTGTATTTATAGGTATATTGATCACTAGTCAAAATAGGTAATTATCTCTTTACACAAACTACTAGTTAAGACTCGCTTGGAATACTATGTACACCTTTGTTCTCCGTAACTAAGAAAAAACACTGACTTAACAAAAAAGGGTTTAGAAGATGGCAAATAGGTTGATTTTATGGGTGAAAGGTTTACCTTACAAGAATGGGTTAAAAACTCCTCTCTTGAGAAAAGAAAAGTAAAAAGTGGTGATCTTATTGAAGTTTTTAAAATTAGCTGGAGGACTGACGGGATAAAGAAAGACCTCTGATCTCTTTGTGCTATATTCTTTAGATAACTGGACAAGAGGGCACACATCTAAGACCTGAAAGAAAAAAAAGACAGCTTTGACACAAATTAGCACAATTTTATTTTTATTTGAATACTTCAATAAGACCAACTCTTACCTTTCTTTTCTCAAGAGAAATAACTTAAGTGGTCTTAACCCATCCCTAAAAATGATCTTTTTATCCTCAGAATCATCTTAGTAGTCTTTCTCCAAACTCTTTCCATTAGTAAACATCCTTTTTTGGATAATGAAGCTAAAATTGTACATAGTATTCCACATGAGGCTTAATTAGTGATGGAATGACCAGGAACAGGAATATTGCTAATAACTTGTCAAAACACGAGCAAATTTAAAAGCTCAGCCATCAAACAGTTTTACGCTATCAGTGTTATAAGACTCAATCATTCACTGCTATAAATTCACGACGAGAGAGAACCTGTTATTTTTCTATCACCTCAAATTAACACATACTTGTAAATTGTTCTAATTGAACACCATGCCATAAAAAAACAATTTTCAGGTTTCATTATAAAAACTTAACTTAAAATACTAAGTCATATTCTATCTTTAGGATATTGCTAGGACAATTTTTTTTTAATGGCTGCATTATTTTAAGAGGGACAAAAAAAAATCACATTAAATGAACCTACTTTTTACACACTTGGGCCTTCACACACAGCATGAACATAGAAATAAGAAGACTGATGCAAGTCCTTCTAAGTGATCTCTTTATGAACACAAAAAATAGAGAACCAACATATGTGGAAGTTTTATTTTCTTATGAGGTTGGTTATTCTATGGAATAGTTTGCTCTTGTATGTGGTAAAAACTTAGAAGGAGTTTGGTCATTTTACTTTTAGATAACAGGAGTGGATATAGGTAAATAGTTTTTGTTATGTAACTGGAACTAAATAGGGTGATAACAGCAGTAAAAATGTAATAATCTAGACAAACCAAATGACCCTTTGTTATCTCTTGAAAATAAATGCAATTTATGAAATATTGAAAATTCATTTTTATATTATTGGGTACCAATTGATGAATAATATGATAAATAAATTTTTTTATTAAGATGAGCTGAAATATACAATTATGAAGGTAAAGTCCCGAAAGAAGGTGAATATAAAACCATAAGGGAATACGAAGACATAATACAAACAATACTAATAGAAACACATTATAAATTTGTTTATTTATGCTGTTGCTATTTATCTTACTAATACTAATTTCATCGCTAAAAGTTTATGTTTCGTTAATTTCAAGCTTAGTCTGAATTAATTTTAATATTACTAAGTTAATATAAAACTAAAAGAAGTCTACAGACAAAGATTACTATTAGTATGAAACTAACTTCTGAACGCTAGGATTTAATAACTTAATATGAAAAATATATGTTACAAAATTTTGAAAATAAAAAAGTATATTTTATGTACAACTTTCCTTAAAATACTGTAATTTTTAAAGTCACATACAACAGTTCTAACACTCTGAGAACTAACTTTATGCAACTTCACTTCAAATTCTGAGTTAGTTCGAAGAAAAGGAACGCAAGGCCATGTTGAACTGAAACCTCACATCGACGCCCCCTTTATCTCTCTCAGTAAAAGGTTTGCATTGTATCTGCAAGTAGTCATTTAACGTATTTATTTATTTTTTACAAATAAACTTTCATTTTTCACTTTAAACACAAAATAATAGTATATTATGCATGGACACGAATTCGAACCTTACTCATTGTCAGTTTGCACTTTTCATATGATTTAATATTTCCTTAAAATAATGTTCTACCCGTTATACTCGTTTGGTGAACAAATGTTGTTACGTATACACTGAGTGGTCACAAATAAATAGACACCTAAGTTTTCGTCATTTAACTGATTTATGCTAACTAATTTGTGTTCACAGATCACTATATAAATGAAAATG